AAAAAAAAAAGAATCTCAGCTTCGATTAAAATTGCAGCCTACGATTTTCATCTTGAAACTTTCGCTGTTACTTCGTCCTTCTATTTTTTTCTTGAACCGCGACGCGCATGCGCGCTGCGACCAGGGGACAAAAAATTGGTGTCAAGTTCCGCAGAGGTCATCTGTCACTGCGAGCAGGAGTGAGAGAGAGAGAGAGAGAGAGATAGCGTGTAACCTGGTGAGAGAGAGCAGGATGGAAACTCAAAGGGAACGAGTGTGAGACGAGAGTCGCTATCTTTGACCTGCGAGACCTGAGGGTTGGCTACACTGAGTGCCCCTCGACCTTACGCACCAATAGGGTGGAACCATACGGCCAGGAACGATTTAAATTTGTCAAAACGAAAGGCAGAGCGACTGATAAATCAAAGTTATTAACTGCAGGTCCAACGGGACCCAAGAATCGTGTCTCTTGGCGACGCTGAAAAGTCAAAGGAACTCGACACCAACGTGCCCAACTACGTACAACAGTGCATGGACTTCCAGGAGCTAAGGAGACCCAGAGGGAGAATACAAAGTGGTTAGCAATTTCTTTTGTCGAAAAAATAATAACAGTCTACATGCAGTAGATGTAGAAGCGCATAGCGCGCGTATTGAAAGTGACTACAGGGCGCCAGGAAGCCATGCTGGTGGGAAAGAATCATTCAAAAGACTGTACCGTATAACGTAATACACGCGTACGTACATACGGGGTGAAAAAAATGTTCAAGATCAAAATTCAACTTTGTTTAGCTTATTCGACAATTACTGAAGGCGATGGCAGCGCTGCGGTCTTTTTTTTGCCATTGAGATAAAAGGAAATCTCATAGGGTAGAAGAGAGAGAGAGGAGTCTCTCGACGGGGAGGCCTCAAATGAAAGGACCTGTACGTGGTATCGACAGTCACGCGAGGTTAGGGCTACATAAATCCGAAAGCGAGTCATCAAATTCAATGCCACCGGACAAACCAGGGAATATTGAGAAGTCCGTAGTGATTTACGCGCATGCGTAGCTTTCCTTTATTTATCCCTTTGCCTACTACGCTGCCCCCCCCCCTCTCTCTCTCTCTCTCTCTCTCTCTCTCTCTCTATCTCGCTTGCTTTCTCGCTGTATACTCGAAAACCAACGGCCGTGTATACCCACGAGATTCACACAGCAATATTTCATGGGCCTCAGAGAGAGGCCAGTCGTTAAAAAGACCACGCTGCGATATATCTTCATTTACGTGCAGTAAATAACTCAACCGTGTCCTCTCTCTCTCTCTCTCTCTCACTCTCTCACTCTCTCTCTCTCTCTTTCTCTCCTGGTACCGATGTCACTCGGGAAAACTCGTGTGGGTCCGATCAGCACGCTTTGGGACTTGGAACATCCCCGGAAATACCGTTTTCCTGGGGGCCGTGCATTGCTGACCCATTGGGCCCCTTCGTGCTGTGGACATTTGGGTCAGTGGATGAGAGCCTCCCTGGCTTCCTACTGGTTAGTAATAATAATAATATTATATTGAAAATCTTGAAATTAATAATTGTAACGTTAGCGAACGTCATTTTACAAGAAATAAGTGGTAGTACAAATTTTTGGCAGCAGCACGAAGATGGCGCTGACGACAGTCCCACTCGAGCGAAAGAAAAAGAAATATTTAGTTTGGCTGGGAAAAGCAGCGGGTTCTCTTGGCTCCTTATCGCGATTCGAAGAATGGCAAAAATCTAGTGAAAATAAGAGCCGGCGGGTGAGAGCGAGTAAGAGAATGGGCCTCGATGTTTGAGGCGCCTTCGGGCCTTGGCCCGTCGTCATCGAGTCATCGTGTTTCTAGCAGCTATGGGGCCCCAGCCTATACCTTTTGAACACAAAAGATACGTACCCCGTGGAGCCATTGGCACGTCGAGCGGCAAGTAAATATTTTCTTAGGTGGCGCCCGGATCGTAATCTCGGACTCTACTAGAAGCTACTTAAAAAGTAATGGAGACAATGAGCGTGTAAATATTGAATTATCGTTTACCTTTGGGGCCCGCGTCTTGTCACCGGGAAGAAATGGCGGCGCGTCCTCGGAGTAGCTCAGCATTGATATTATTATTATTATACTTGACTGCTCCTTCATCTTTCTAACCTCATGATCCCCACTAATTATTTCTCAAAATCTCACCAGATTAGACTGTTGTTCATTCGACAACGATAGTGGAGGCCGCCTTATCTTTCGGTGAGTCCCAATTTATATGCATATAAATATGTCGAACGAGCAAGTGGCGATCAATAAATTGGAAATAACGAACTGTAAAATAATATCGTCCGTAACTTTTCGTCTCTCGGCCGTGCGACCATTTTTAATTGCCTTACATATGTCAAAGCGTAGGGATGCCGAACAAATTACCGAGCGATAACGTCGGGACGCCCGACGTCGGCTTTATGAAAATTCCACCCCAAGGAATGGAGGATCGATGATAAATTAAAAAATTGAAATATTTTTCTTCGTGATCTTACACGTATTTTTCCTATCCAGCAGCACGTGCTTAATGGCCGCTTAGTTTTCTTTTGTATTTTACACTGCGTGCACTTTATTTTATTTTTTTTTTATTTTTTTTGTCTCTTACTGCGATTCGTTACTCCACACACGCGCAAAGATATCGTAACTTTTGAACTTTCCTAAACTCCCAAGTGATACAGGATCTTTCGTATATATATATATATATATATATATATATATATATATATATATAGTGCACTGTTTGACTTTATCTCGTTCCAAATGTCATGGACCATTGACTGGAGGCTTACCGAACATCTGGACCAGCAGATAACCAGCCGTGCTTTGAGTGTCGGTCGCTTTCGTACAGCTACTTCTCGGAAGCATTCTATCATTGGCGTCGTGACGCCAGGCGTCCTTTTTGGAGTCTCTAGCATGCGCCATTCTCTGCCGTGGATTCAGCCTAGCCAGACTGCCAGACTAACGGAGTTTCGCTATTTGTTTGTCAGATCGATCGATCGCTATTTCTACATACGAGCCAGTGAGTATACAAATCGGTATATTGATTCTTTCAAAAGTACATAGACACGCACTTGCTGCTAGTTTCGAAGGAATCTGTACAGTCGCTCATAAATATGTTGATCGGCAGACTTCGTTACCCCATTAAGCTTATCTCGTATCCTTGCCCGTCTTTAAATGACGTGTCCTCTAAATGCGAAGATACCGGAAATGGAAGTGGTACCTCCAGCCATATACAGTCTTTATCTGCGCAAGGGAAACACGACAGGTGAAGATGAACACATGCGCCCGCAAACGCATTCGTTGTCGTCCGCATTTAAACATATCGTTTGAAAATTCTTATCGCTCCTATCACCCCGGGCAGCCATGTTATATTAATGCCCTGCCCGTTATCGCCGTTTAGCACGTAATTAATTACAAAAATGCTATCGGTAGTGATCCAATGAAAAAAAAAAAAAAAAAAAAAAAAAAAAAAAAAAAAAAAATGAAAAAAATACGGAACATCAGACTACATAAATTTCCCGTTTAAAAATTCCATCCTGTGAATATAAATGTATTGGTTAAAAAAAAAACTGAGACATCACGCTGCGTGTAAATTTTGAAAAACAAGAATTTACCTTACACGTGCTTTTCCAGGTATCATATGGAATTTGGAGGATACTGGAAAACAAATTCGAAAGGGTTTTTAATACGGTGTCCCGTAAGTTATCACCGTTAAAAAAAACAGCGGGCAGATAGCTAGATACGGCGGAACGAGAAGGCCAGAAGGCAAGAGGGAGAGTGGCGGCGCGACGCTCCAGCCTGCCCGGCTAGAGAACCCGAGAGAAACGTCCCTCGGCGTCGTGTAGTATACGGCGTCCTGAGATGACCAGGCGCGATAACCGGAAGATGAATAATAAAACGTAATATTTGTTGCACTCGACAATCTCCAGCATCTTAACGCGTTACGTAATGCTCACATATTCGTTGCACCTACTTGGAGTGCACTCGCCTAGCGCACAGGGACGCACACCAGGATACGTTCTTGGGTTCTTACCAACCACCTATCCGCGTATCCACGTATGACCACGTGTCTTCGGTATCGAGCATGTGTGCAGAGCCAGAAGGCACCCTGTACCGCGTTGGCGGTGCACCCATGCCTCATTCTTGAATTATTATTAAAGTCCGTATGATAATTAACACCTTGCCGGATGCAAGTAGGCACGGGATATAGGCACATTGGCAAAACATTATTTCTCTTGCACTGGATGCATTTACATTGCACTATTGCGTCCAGTGCATATTAATGTGGCTGCGATGCGTGTAAGGTCGAGGGGAAAATAAAAGATTGTTTTCGAACACAAAATTTTGAAGCTTTCGTACTGGAAGGTGACTGAATGATATTTTCCATGTTTCTAGTTTGCTTAAATGCCTGAGAACCTCTTAAGGCCCATAAAGGTGGGTCCTATAAAGAGAGAAAAATGGCCTTATGAAATCTACCGAATCTTCCTCTTCTTCCTCTATGTACCTGCGCATAATCGAGATTGAAACCGTAGTAGGATTGTCACCAGTAACGTAAAACGTCATAAAGGTAGTGGGGCTGGCACGACACATAACGCAAAGCGCATAACGCACGACACGAGTGTAGAGAACGAGTGTGATAAACATGTCAGCATGACTGGACCCCCTGTAGGGCCCACGGCGTTGGGACCCTGGGAGTTTGATGCCCCCTACCTGCTACGATCTGGCCCAGCCAATGCTTCCCAGATTTTCAAGTTTCTCTCATACTCGTAATACTTGGACCACACCAAGGAGGATGAAGACGAAGTTTCTGATAGGTCCATTTCACTTATTTTTTAGGCAAAAATTTGTCTTTAATAATTGTTTCAGTCACGTGACGACTTACTGCAGTAACTGATTTTGCTACTGTACTTAAAGTTCATTTGAAAATGATTATCAAATTTTTTCTGAAATATATGTACACATAAAGTATATACCGCTAAATAGTACTCACCTCTCTGTCTCTCCTTTTTAAATTCCAGGCTGAATTTCACTGGAGAACCGGAAGTGCATATTAGATCAGTTCCTATTAAGCTTCTTGGACTTAATGACTCGGTGCAGGGACGGAGGCCCAGGACTCGGCAGCATTATAAAGTCAGGTGCTCGCACTATACCTGGTTCAGAATAATTTTCATAATAAACAGGAAGTCAAATAAAGAATCAAGAATCTTATCCCCATAGTGTCCAGCAATGAATTTTTATATGACAGTAAAAAGGAATTTTTCATGATGAAAAAATGATGATTACCAGTGTTCCTTGTCGTGAATTATTGTGATTATTGCTCATGAAAATCTCGCACGTGACAATCACACACGTACACACGTGTCCTTGGCCAATCCCAGTGTTCTACTTGCGTGTCTCGTGAGGAACACAAGCATCGCCGAGAATGTGGCAGCGGTCTGGGAATCGGAATCGGTGGCTGTACAGCAAATCAAGTATTTTATTCAGCATAACCCGCGACCAAACGACGGCTCTTCATATATGTTATCTTCTACATTACATCGCCGCTCCAAATGCAGTCTTCAAACGCTGTGTTGGCGAGGCCGGGAATGCGGTCCCAATAGAGCAGTGATACTCAATGTTTAGTCCGATTTTATGCACACGGATTTATATTGTTCAAAAACTTCAAAAGTATCAAGAAGACGCTGATACGTTGTGCAAAGCAGAGTCATGTCACCTTTGAATACAACACAATTCAGAATGAATATTGAAAGGAAATTATTTATGAAGAATTTTTACCAATATAATTTATATTATTTACAGTTATTCATTAAAAAAGAAAAAAAGAAATTAAAAAGATATTTTTTGTCGACCGCTTTTTTTACAACGGTTTAAGCACTGAGTTCAGAGATGTCAGTATGATACTGGTGGTGTTGTCATGATCCAATATGGCGTCCGCCTGTCGCGCGGGAGTGTCGCACGGGAGTGTTTTACAATCGGGCGCGCCGGAACGTGTATCAGTGAATATGTGCAATTCGAAAAGGATAATTGAGAAGCCCTGGATGAGTCGGCCGTATCTTGTGTTGTGGCGTCGACGTGCTGGTAGCGCAGCGGGTATGGCGCGATGCCGCTTGTAAGCAGCAAGCCGCAATTCCAATATGCGACATACCCGCCGTCATATATAACCTCAAACATATCGCGCATTTGCGACTGCTCTTGCGAGATGTCGATTTTTGTTCGTTTTACTATTCGCAAATTATTCCTTTAAATCGTACGTTGCTCCTTGCATACTGAACGAGGTAATAAAACAGTGCAAAAGTGGTGAATCGTCAATATGCTACTGCCTGCGAGACAAGATGGACATAACTGCAGAATCAATTCAGGTACAGTGCTTTATGTTTATATCACGATACATAACATTGATTCCGTCTTACCCTACGACATACGTATGCAGTGGATAAGTATTTACAAGCCCTGTGACACACGAGGCTTGTGCTAAATCCGTTTGTATTCAAAACAAAGATGTTAACGAGGCAAGATAATCAAATCCCCAATCCGTTAGATCTACTCTTGCGCACCGGGAGGTGGCCAATTAATATTTGCAGTTAAATCTGAGATCTAGATCTCGGTTAGGAACCGCTAGGTTCGTGGTTGCGGATTCCGTCGTGCTCCAGGGCGTGCACCGAACAAAGTAGTACGAAAAACCAGCAACGAGGAAGAATGATATACACGAGAGAAAATATCGTCGTCCAGCATACATCAAAGAAGCAAGTGAACACAAATCAGAAATAAGTGAACGTCGCGTGGCGGAAAATTTGAAAAGAGACTAAAAGGAATAAAACAATAGGGATATTAAGCAAAGCGGAAGGGCATCGACAGGATTACAGGAGGGCTTGTACCTGTCATCGACGCGGTAGAGATCGTGCGATTGTGTACAGTGCTCTCGCGTGCAGCAACAATATATAATAATAAAGCGCATCCCTGGTGCAGTTAACGAAGGTATCGTCCTGGCAAAGTACGCGTAGGAAGCACCGCCCTTGCCACTTGCCACGCTACGTAATACGTATACGAAGGTACCTCTCCACGTACAAGGCACAGATCACTTAAAGGCATGTAGGCAGATAGGCTACTCGATGGAATCCGACGCACCACGCGAACCCTAGCGTCTCTGATTGGTAATTAAACGCATGACAGCCGGTGGGTTGCGCATATCGTTTTGCGCATCTGCATCCCTGACGACTTAAAAAAAAGAGTGCAATCTACGAGTTAGTTCTTGACACCCTTCCCTGTGAGGTGCACTGAATTCTTCTCTTCGTACATTCAATAATAAAATTTTGAAAAAAAAAAGTCACAAGCGTACCAACCGATGCAGCGTGACACGTGCATCCACGTATTACAATGGTAATGCGAAATGGTAAATAACAATTACAGGTATCGGTAATTTTATGCGCGAGCCATCTCTTATGTCCGCCACAATAAATACGCCGTGCGGGAGTAGAGTTACCGATCTAGTTCGCGGCTCCCATTAGACGGCAGTGTGAACCGTATCCTTTATGTATCCTCCTGGCGTCAGTCGGTGCCTACAGTGCTGCTGGTGCTGCTGGTGCTGCCGGTGCTGCCAGTGCTGCCAGTCCCGGTTACACGGCAAGACGACGTGGAACCCCGTGTGTGCGCCCATAGGAGCCACGGTTAACAACTATGCCCGTTTCCTTCCACATTAAATCCCAAGCGAATCGCGAATCGCCTAGTCGCGCTGAATTGCCGTCGGGCACGCACGACGCTACCGGACGAAACTCTGTTTCTGTCTCGCTGACTGTCAGTCAGTCTATCTCGTGCAGATAGACATACATCCCAGAGATACATGTACCCAATGCGTTACCCAGTTTCCTACGGCTGATCCGGAAGCCGGAAATCGCGTGGGATAATTTTTAATCAATCGTTATCGTTCGCTGAGATGATTTTGGAAAGCGGAAACAATTATTTGAATTGTAGTAGCGTACCTATGTCGTGTTTATTAAAAAATTATCGCAACACCCGGGTAGATATTTCGATTCAGTCTTACAGATAATTTCTATTGTTTTCATTTTTCACGTTGAATGTATTTTATGTTTCCCATATTCGCCTCGTGATGGATAATGCGTGAGGTGGGCGTTCAGGCTGCTTAACGTAAGACGAATAAATATGAGTGACCATGTGCGTGCGCGTGCGTGCGTGAGCGGGGAACGTAGTTAAAAATTCTCAGCCTAAACAAAACCTCAGAAGAAACGCCATACCCATTCCAAGATATGCATACGTTACGCTCGGACCCGTGTCGAGCTCATAACCTCGCATATTTATTTCGGCTGTTGCCTGTAAAACTTTTACCTTATGTATATAAGCGAGTGAGCGCGAGCGCGCATGCGCGGGCGCTTTTCAACGCCTCCAACAATCATCGAGATTGTCGGCCTTCGGATGCGCTTTGCATCTCGTGCAATCTTCCGCGGGCAGATACTCGAAGGATCTGTGCGCATGCGCACTACCCTTTAACCACTTCGATATCCAACTTCTCCCTACGCCACCAGTTTCCACACTACGTGTAAAATATCAGCGAACGAATCTGCGCATTAATAGAAAAGAGGTTGCACGACGACTGCATTATTTATTACAATGATTTCTGCATAATGCATAAATAAATACTGTTAACTGACCATTATTCACCTTTAATTAACCTGATAAGGTCGCTCTTGCTCCTCTTCCCTTTTTTTTGTCCCTTCGTCTTCTTCTTTTATGTCTTTCCTAGTCCTTCGTCCCACTCCCTCCCACACCCACCTACCATGTCCAGGCACCAGTGAATACCCGTGCAGACGTGTGTTGCACGCACTCTTCTTACTTTCCCTATCCCAAGAAACGCACTCAACATTTACAGAGGTCAGAGGCGTGAGATCTATGCAAGATTTTAAAGATATGCCACATTGTCGTACTCGCGAGTGCAAGCTTTCAACGTCTAGCAAAATTACGCCCAGCGCCGTATCTGTACACCGTCGTACCACGGGCACCATAGTGCAACGTAATGCCTTATCCATACCTCGATAGCATCGTACGAAAAGGGACCGTCGCTCACGGCCGACGTCACTGCTGGATGTTCTCACGTGGTTTTATTTTTGTTTCAACAACATTTCTTTCTCACTTCAGTACAGCCTGTGTACAACACTTGATAATTGTAATGCATGAAAATTACAAAAATTGCGTCATCATAATATTCTATTGTCAATACTCTCTATTCGCAGGATCAATAATGGTGTCCCAAAGCATTCTCATGATCACAGAACGACTAACCGTTAGGTTGCGAACAGTTGCGAACTCGAAGAGCAACGGTGCAAGAAGAAGGAAGGCTCTGTACTTCACATGTGTATATATATATAGATATATACACGTGCGTGCGCATGCTGAAGACAGCAAGGGTGCTGGAGGAGTCAGGGGTCCCCGTGATTCGCGTGCTAGAACGCAGTTTGTTGCGTCGAATGCGCAATCAAATTTATATGCATCTAGCCGCTCGCGGATGTTGATGTACAGCAGGTATATAAGAATGCGTTGTACGCGTGTCTGACTCCGAAGAACCCAACGAACCCAGAACGAACGTACGGCCTTACTCGGGCTGATGGATCTTCGCAAAATGAAGTATGGTACAGGTATGGGGAAAAAAAGAGAATCTTTGAACACTTACAAATTCGACCTAATGATTTCTGTAATTGTCTAAGTTTTTTTCTTTTAATTACAGACAATGGAGTTAACCCATCTCGTTAACGGATTGACCGCAGTGGCTCATGACTTGGTTACCTTTGAAATCAACAGTAATGGCATTAACGGGCGCTTCCTGCGACAAGAATATCCCGGCTTATCTCGCCTATTTACCAAAATAGTACATGCTATGCGCGCTCCGTTATCCGACCATCTATACAACCCATTATTAAGTGCTACTACAAGGAATAGGACGGACGGTTGGGTATCATATCGTCACGGCTCCTGATTCCGGTTTAGATTCGTTTCCGAAGGTGTATCGTCACGTCAACGCCGGACGAATTAACCACAGCGCGGGAAGAATGCTTTTTAAATGGAGAAACGAAGCGCGGCGCGGCGATGGACCGAGAAGAAGAAAAAAATTCGAATCGACGACAGGGCCGACGACAAGAAGTGAACAGACCATTTTTTATCGAGTCAACTATTGACAGATTTATTTTCAAAATTTTACCATACCCCTCGGCGCAGTTGTAAATCCACGTGTTAAATAGGATTTATGTTTACAGTTGCATAATACCAGCTGACGTCCTCCGGGCACCCAGCTGCCAAATGGGTCACGTTGGACAAGGGTGCATGACGATGCATCGTGATTGCAACTCCGACTAGGCGAACTGGCTGTCAGCTGAGAAGGAGGGGGACCAGGTCTAGGGGTGGGGGAGTTGAGAAAACAGTAATTAATCTTATTTATCGTTAACCTGTAATTCATCGTGCTTCCTGCTCGCGCATCCCTTCCCACGTCGAATGGACAAAGATCGGCATGATTTAAATAATAACGATCAGTCAGGCCCTGCTGAACTTTGAGGCTCCAGTTCAGTCGGCTCAGTCGGCTCAGTCAGCTCAGCGGTGCGCCAGTAGCTAGACTCCCCATAGGAAGTATATTTAACTATGATTCCTATGTCGGGCCAAGTGGTGGGACGATGGGCAGAGCCTGGGGTGTCCACGCGTTCCTTATACATTGGCAGCCCCACGTAGTCGGGGGACTGAAGCTGGATGAGACTCGACTATTGTAGCTATAGATAAGACACTCGCGCTTTCATTTAGAGGAATGATTAATTAGTCGACGCCATTCTGGCAGCCAAGATGGGGGGGCCTGATGAATGCCCGGATGGATGTAAATGCGCTCGTTGCCTCCTCGAGAGAATTATGACTGGTTACGGTAATGTTATTCCTCTAATAATTTAACGCGGATCGACTTGCTCCTTTGGCTAAGACCTAACCTAGAAGCTAAACATCTAAAGAAAAAAAAAAGGCTAATCGGAAATGCGCGCTTCCTTGATCTTTTTATTATACATTAGAAATCCGAAGAAATAACGATCTTGTATGTTTCAGTGTTTTGCAACCGTTCTCACTTGGAGCATCAGGAGCGGCAACGTAACGGGTAAGAAAAAAAAAAAACCAAAAAATTTACTTAATATTCATTGCTCGAGTGATCTGCATTTCGAGGCAAATATTTATGACGGGGAGTAATGATAATTAAAAAGTCCAGATCTTTTGTGTAGAAGCACGCGGGGTTGGCAGATAGGTTTGGTTAGGTTAGCCTGTCTTCATAAGCAAGACGCGTGCGATGACTGAGCAAATGATCCATAATCATTACGGGAAAATTGCCCGTACAAAGTGGCCCATAAAGACACGCTCCCTATTAAGATGAGGCCAAGCCGACCGCTGTTCTATCGGTTGCGCACCAATAGGATCCACCTGCCTGGTACCCCATTACTTCTCAGGTTCGGTAAGTCAGACACCTACCTACTTATGCCTACCTGTCTGCTTGACCATTAGGCTGCCAGCAGTCCCGGGAGCAACGCACCTACGAGCAGTGGTCCTACGATACGGATGCATTTGATGCATCGAGAACGGACTTATCTTCTGCGCATGCGCGGGCTTGAACCTACCGCGCAGATCGATCGGCGCAGGATCGATGGACGCTTACCGATCCGTGACGCGCCGATTTTACTTATTAACTGCGACGTCCCGGCGCGGATCGTGGCGCCGGAAGGATCATCTGTGAGAAACGCTATCTGCTAGATATTAGCATATACATATGAGTGTGTCACGGATGGAAGAACCGAAATTTTCGCATGGCGGCCGTCGACACTGGATCGCGTTGAAGAGAAAAGAGGATTTAAATAAAAAGGTATTTTTTAAATACATATTTAGTTATGATTGCAATTTAGATATGGGCTTTTTGGTTTCGTGCTTCGATTTGACTTTTTTAACTTTCAGGTTATTATTTATTTCTTAGCCTATCATGCACAGCAATTAATAACCATCGCCAGCGGCGGATGCAGCAGTGAATACATGAAGATTACCCTGAAGCTTAAGACGTTGGTCGCCTGGTTTTACCTTCGCATGCAAAGCGTGCCGACAGATATCCAAACTGCATAAATTACGTGGCTATGTATTTGCAATGTATTGCCAATTTTTTTTTGCAATTGGATATAATCGATGCGACAGTACTTATCTGTCTGACCCGCATGTACATATGTACGTGACGTTTGACCACGCTTCTGTCAGATCGTTTATTTTCTAATAACTGCTCGTATGTGCGTCTGCAATTATTTATGGGACTCGCGGCAGGCCGATCGATATCTGAAATAACCAAAGCGTCAGCACGGATCGTTAAGGATAATATGTCGAACGAATTGGTCGAGTGTTATTTTAAAAGTTTTATCTTCTTCCCTTTATATCTTCATTTTATTTTATTTTTTTCTTCCTTCAGCCAGTGCAGATACCCGAGATCGGTAATTACTCATACTCGTGGATGATGCAGGTTCCGGTCACCGGGCGGAGATATTAGCAGCGATAGTCAGTCGTGCCACCTGCCAAAACTGATATGCAATTAATGCTAAACGTTCGTTACGCACGCAATCTTGGCGCGCAACCCCATATAACGACGATAAATCAAGCGTGGCGAGGCGCGAGTCGATTTTATTTCATATATAACAGAGATGCATTACGATGCACCGATGCACCGTGCTTCCACACACGTGCTTTCTTACATATATGGCTCGTGCGTCACTACTGAACAGAGACTAGCTGTACTGGCATGTATATTCTTTCAGAGAAGAATTTTTCTTTAAAGATGCACCGGTGCATCGCGATGCATCGACTTTAGGAATGGAAGTCGAAAGAAGTGCATAGCTCTGATAATGACGTTGCCACGTGGGCGAACCCTGGGAAACGATATCAGGACGCGCTCCAGGGTTTACCTTTTTATTTTTGCGTTATTCGTTAGACGGCGAATGAAAAAGAGGATAATAATAGAACAGCCACGGGAACTCGTAGAAAATTCTGATCTAATTAATGCAATTTGTGCATCGGCTGAGAAATCGCGTCGTGCACCTTCTGCATACATAAATATATATATACGAGCGCGAACAGAGAAGTCCTGCGTAGACCACGAACGAAATATGCATAAAAGGTGCATTTTCATAATGCTTAGTATAAATGTGCATTTAAAAAAAAAATTACAAATTTTACTACCTCAGTCCACCTTTGCGACTAACAACGCGAAATTCGCGGGCTTTAATGCAGTAATTAAATTTTGTATAATTGTTATTCTGAAAAGTGCATTTCGCACGTACCTTTATTAGTGGTAAAGGCTACGTTGCGTATGCGTCAGAATTCTCACTGACGAGCCTCCTCCCCCTGTGTCGCCCGCGCGCAATTGCAATTACGTCACGGGCGTCTACGCGAGCGAAAAACATAAAGGCGTCGCTCTCGAATTAAGTCCGATCATTTTGGCGAGCGTAATTGCGTCGACGTAACGCATCCCGGTCACGAAAAGGACGTGTGGCCTCGCGACGCCGCCTTGTAAACGTAACGCGGCTCATGTGCTGCGCTTCTGCTCTCTTTTTTTCTCTTCCTTTTTTCTTGCACTTTTTCAGTTAGAATGGCCCACTTACCGACCGATGCAATTTCGTGCACGCATGCACGTCGCCCGTGCACCTTCTTGGATTTATCACTTAATAATACCAGCTACGCGCATCATGCGCAACACGTACGTGTATGCTATATATGGATATACATACGATATGGCTTATAGAATTTATTTTCAAGCGCATCATTATATAATTCGCCAATGAAATTAGTACTGGAAATAATATTAAGATTTTAATTGACAAAAATTGTAGTTTGTAATTTTGGTAGTTTGGCCTTTTTTTGGTACTTGGTACTTTTGATACATGACACTTGGGTCTTGGTACAGTGGTTCTTTCGCTCTCCCTTGCCCTGTCTGGTCTGTATACTTGTAGCAGCTGTCGGCGTATTAGGGACTAATCCCTTTACACCCTTTTGCACTCTGCGGTATTGAAAATTCTCACCGATAAGCATCCACTTATTTCACTGCTGGCGCATTTACTTTTACTTGTTACTAGACCAGCAACACCTATATCTGGTCCTTAGCGCTTGGCCAAAAGTCCTGGCAAATGGGCAGCGCGTGTTTCCTATTTTCCCGAAAGATTATCCCAGGAGGAAAATGGGCCCGTAGGCAGGGCCAACTCTTTGACCGGACAATGGCTCGACAAAGTGGGACTCTTCGCGGTGGTCAGGGCCCAGAAGCCCCACGAGTTCGGCTAATGACATTTAAGCGGGACTAATTTCACGGTTCGACTTGCTATTTACTATTGACAAATGCCAGGATTAGCTTCTACCACGAGTGCCACACTGTATCCATTATACCAGACTGTACTTAGTCCTTTCTATAACGTATCCGCCCGTTTAACTCAAGGTGTGCGTTTTGGAGACTTCCAAGTCCATTCACTGTAGCTATGTCTCTTATGGAAATATTGAATTTTCGATATTCCCCATAATACCCACGATTCTGAAACTTTGTATGCGACTGATTAAACCTTGTCGAACTCAACCGTATCAATAGTGTAACTTTGATTATTCAGGAGCGTAATATACCAACCGAAGCTAACTTTGCCATAGGAAGCAAACGAACAGGCTAACCTCGGTCGATGCGGTAGTTCTGAGTAATCCTATACACGGTATAGGAATTGCTTGGAAATTAATATTCATCTCTAATTTACGCCGAGCTGAGCTGCCTGCTGGGAGATCTTATGGGAAATACACGTGCGCGCCTAACTACATCCTGGAATAGCTCTGGAGTCTCGAGTCTCGAGTATAACGTGGTTTCGCTTGATTGGCCAGTTCAAAGTCTAAGAGGCTTATTGGCAGAGACAGCTCATCGGATAGCATTTAGGCATGGAGTCTCCTATAGAATACAGAGGGAGCAAAGCAAGTACGCTCGAATTCATTCGGAGCGAAGTAAAGCCGTAAGGGTCGAAGCGTGGCGAGTGTGTACACTATAGGTATAGGAGGGCGCCACGCGACCACGGACCCGTAGCCAATGGGCCCAACCGGGCCCAGGACTGTCCCGGGGCTCTTCGGGCTCTTTCGGGCTCACAGCACTACCCGCAGATGTCCGCGTAGATAAGATGACAACGTGAATTATATTCATCGGGTTAACCTGCCCGGATGAGTTTCCGAACCGAGATAAGGTTAATAGTTTTATTGACTGTGGGAAAGTTCAAGGCTGAATGCACTTTAGCTGCGAAAGATGGTCCATCCAACTGCACAATTTTAATTTGGGTGCATTGCAGTAGGAGTAACCATTTTTTTTATTTTTATAAAATAACTATTTAGATAGTAAACACACAGTGGTGGGCATAGGGTAAATGGTTTATGGCTTTGGGAATAATAATAATGCTGTTGCACTCGGTGCATCCTCAGGCATGCACTTTGGATGCAGTTGGGGGGGGCTTCTGGTAGGAAAGTGAGATGTTCCCGGGGGCAGGTAGGAAAAGTATGACGGTAGAATGTGGTGGGCTGGAGGGTAGGAGGGCAGGAGGGGGGATACGTTCGCGCTGTAAAATATTTTTCTCAGGGTAATAAAGATCGTGGACGTTTCGATGTCCTGGCTTGGATCTCAGGTGGCGTCGCGTCGCTCCTTGAGACATCTCAGCAGGCATCGGCGCCCAGACGGACTCCTAACTCCCTTGTCCTAACTCTCTTGTCCTTTGCTCACCTACGAATTCACCTATTCGCCATACATTCCTCTTGCTTGGCTTTCATTTTTACAAATTTCAGGCTTACAAAACTTTCACAAACCGCACATTTTTCGGGACTGTCCCGACTCACGAGTTATGTCGTATAGTTTTCGTCAGTATTTTGTATCGATTTTAAAATTTTTTTGTCTTGTCAATAATTGAGTCACCCATTGATTTTTGCACGTAAGAAATAAGACACATCGTTAGGATTTCTGATTGATATCTTAACGCTACCATACGGCACCAATTTACCGTATGGAATTACCTCCCTTAGTCATCCCTGTATCACTTGTCGAAGTTTCCCAACGAATTTCTTCAATCCTTTCAAGGGTGTTTCTCACCCTTGTGAATGGGACCTAATCAAAGGATAGGTAGGTAGGTTGCGTTATAAAAAGAAAAAAAAATAGTTTCAGCATCGACGATCAATCGATAGGGCACACCCTGCCGCAGAAGGGGTGATCGTGTCGATAGGATTGGCATTGATTTTATCAGTTTCTACGTAATTACGCGTGTTGGTACACCAGAACGTGCGTCAAGGGTCGATTCAATTTTGAATATGGTCGAGCATCCAGCTTATTCATGAAAATTCTCAGGGTATCAACCAGCACGATAATTTCATTCACTGCAGGATGGCATGAAATTTTGAAAAAAATGATTTTTCTAAATATCTTTCAGCCAAATAAATAAAGATCAAATATGATTTTCATAAGTACCCATTGTCTTTGAAGTGTTCCTGTGAATTTTACCAAAAAGTAATCTACACGCTATTATTATCCGCACGGTATATCGTGGGACTGCAACTGGTACTCGGCGAAGGGTGTTTCCAGTGGACTGAGGCCCATTGTCGACTCGAGGGCCCTTCCGACTGGGCCGACTGGGGCGAATGGGGCGAATAGGGCCCACTACAAGATACTTGTTGATGGAACAAAAATCGTATCTTGAATTCGATGCTTCGTGTTTTCCGGCTAATGCGTCGACTGTGCCACCGGTGCATACTCGATGTTAACAATGCATTGTATCCGAGTGCAATAGTGCATTTAATTTTTTCAATGCAATTCCCATTTTGCTATATTTTTTTTTAAATTTTTGAATTCTGTCTTCGTTTTTTCGATCTCTATCTTTTTCTTCCTTTGGTTATAAGCGCGTCCAAGAGAGTCAAGATTTACAGCCGGTGCATTATGGCGCGTGATTATGGAATCGTAAATTATTATCCCACGGTCGGAATGCAGACTCGCGCGGCTAAACTCCGTCCAATGCAGACGCGATGCCGGCTCGTAAACCAATAAACAAATAAAATTCAACATTTTGTTCCGTAGTTATTCCGAATCGTTCCCGAGCCTCTTTTTCTTTTCAATCCTTTGTTGTGTAATAATAATCGGGCCTCCCCCTCCACCCGCTCGGGGTTCTTCCCACCAAAATACCACCTGTGCACAACGTTACCATTGCCAAACAATAGCAATGTCCATTGTTCGCAGTCAGGTATGACACCGCAGTACACGGAATGCGCGACAAATATATTTGTGAGCGGACACGATTTTGAAAAAAAAAAAAAAAAAAAAAAAAAAAAAAAAAAAAAAAAAAAAAAAAAAAAAAAAAAAAAAAAAAAAACCTACTGTCATCCCATTCAAAAAAATTAAAAACCACGTGTGACACCCCTTTTTTCTCCACACGACTTCCCATTGGTCCATCACTGTAAAGCCAAATTGAAACATCAACCCTGAATACCCGTCAAACTTTTTTTTGACCCCATTGAAAAATTTCTTTTCCACTTTGAAAGGGGTCCTACCACGCTGCTATTATTTCGAATTATTTCGTATCAGCCCTAAAGTGGTGGAGCGACCTACCCAATGAATCCGATGCAACGTAGCGTCAAATTGGCTGAAGCGGTGTGCGCGAGTGCAGCGAGTGCAGCATCAATTGGCTACATTGCTTCAACCACGTTAAGGGATCAAGGCGGAGCCGCAAACATTTGTCCAACTGCAAAGCGACAATATGTCGCTACGTGTGTGTTCAAGGGTGGATCGCCTATTGGAGAGGGATCAACCTTGCCGAACGCCTGAGCCAAGGGATTAAGGGATGGAGGGACCAATACTAACGAATCAATACATTAACGCGACATACGTGCGTACCCGTTTTCCACATATGATATATGTGTAATTGTGTATATACACATGTGAAAAAGAAAAACCAGGAGGGTGGCCAAATCATGTTTGCCTTTCGGACTTAGAAGTTAAAAGGGACGTGCGCAAATATTCGAGTCATTAGCTCTTCCGGTTTTCATGCGATTCAGCAGCGAGAATCACTGAAATGCATTTATGCACTTCAGTGCCAACGTTAAATGCATATAATCAGTATACTAACTCATTTGCATAATAGTGCAGTGCAGCTACGCACGCGGCTCCTAGCGGCGTGTATCGCATAGATTTCAGCACCATAGTTACGTATCGTAAAATACTAATAAGGTAACTTGAAAATTATTATATACTTATCAGATAACTTTTTATCTAAGTTAATTTATCTGTACCTCCAAAGTGCATAAACACTCGTGCGACTAGCGCAGTTATGATTACCTGTCGTATGAGGTTTCTCACGATACATATTTTAAAAAATATCAACGATTTCCACATTTTTTTTTTTTTTTTTTTTTTTTTTTTTTTTTTTTTTTTTTTTT